AAGCTGTCCATGTCGTTCCAGTTGTCACCTAACTCCTGGGAACTGACGAACTCCATCAGGTCTTCGATGTGGGGGATGTTTGTGTCTTCCAGGTCCTCCTCCTGGATTGCTACCTGTGAGGGTGTGCATCTTTGTGGGCACCGGGTGAAATTGACTGTGAGTTTTCCCCAATCCACTTCGGGATTATGCTCCTTGAGGAAACTCATGCCTAGTATAACGTCTTTATGTCCTATATCGGTGACCAAAAGGCTTTGCCTGCTTGTGTGGTTTCCGATGGTTATACTTAGAAGAACCCTTTTCTTAATGGATCCACCCTTGTTGTGAGATGCATCTGCGTTGTAAACCCTGATCTCCTTCTCGAGTGAGATCGTAGCGAGATTCAACTGATCAACCAGCCGTGGGTTGATGTAGCAAGAATATGCTCCTGAATCGAGGAGCGCCTCAGTCTGGACTTCCCTTACTCCCTGTTTGAGGTGAACAGGTAAATCGATCACGTGTTTGGATGAACCAGTAGATGCGATGTATAAAAAACTTGATACTGGTACATGCGAGAGCGAGTAGGTACTATTACATTGTCTATGGGAACTCTGGCCAGACCTCAGAGAACCCGTTGAAGAAAATCCTCATCATCTTCTACCTCCGTGATCCTAGCTGCTTCGACAGCTGGTTCCGGTTCTGCCTCCTTTTCTTTTTCCTTCGCGTCGTAGCTGGCGATGAAAGCACGGACTGCTTCATATCTCACCTTGCTGTCGTCGGAGATGTCTGAGGCCGTGTTTGAAGAAATCACCCTTGTTGCTTGGCCCCGCTTTGGCATTTCGAATTTGCCTTTGTACTTGGGGTCTGGGCATCGCTGTTTAAAAATGAAGGGGTGTTTCCCACATCGTACACACAGCTTCTTCTCCAGCCATCCTTCTTGCTCCTTGGTGAGGGTGGATACTCTATCCACGACCATTGCGTTGGGGTCTTTCGGGGCCCGTGGTGCCTATGATAATGATGTCGTTACTGTTCCACGCTGTCCTGCCTTATCGGCCCTGAACTTGGACTCCAGTTGAAGGCACAGGTCGAGGTATTCCAGCCATGTGATGGGGTCAGAAATTCCTAGACTGTCTCGTGTGACCATTGCCTGGCGTACGTCCTTGCTTCGATGTTCAGCAATGTAACCGATGAGTGCAGTGTGCCCTAAGTTGGTCTTAGTGGCCCATTGGCAGAACTGTTCTGCAAAGGATACCATTGTGGGATACGTTTTGCCGCAGATATCCTTCAGATGCTGCTGCGCATCCTTGTCTGGGTCGAGGGTCCTGTAGTTCACTTTGAGGATGTCGACGAAGTCTTCCCATGTGCCAAGTGCTTGCCGTGCTGCTGCCTTGGTTGCATATTCTGACATGTATGTGAATGCGCCACCTTCCAAATGTAGCAGGGCCATGGTGATTTTGTGTTCATCGTCGTTTATCTCGTTCCACTGCATCCATATGCCGAGTTGTTGGAGCCAGTCCTCCAGACTTCCTTTGCCCGAGTAGTGTGGAGGTTCAGCTATTTTGATGCGTGGTTTGTGCGCTTGGACTGTGCCGGATGTTTGACCTTGCATCATAGTGACGCCGCTTGCTTTGAGCGAAGCTAGCTCATGCTGCAGCTTAACGTTAGCTGCCTTGATTTCCATCATTTCTTTGCCTGTGTCGAGCATTGCTGCCTGGGTTCCCATGAGTTCATCATTTAAGACCGATATGTGCACATCTTGCACAAGGATCCTATCCTTGAGCTTCCCGATCTCCATCTGAAGAACTGCCTCCTTGAGTCGGTGCTCGTTTTTGTTGTTTTGGATCACCGATTCAAAGGCTTTCTTGTGCTCGTACATCTTGTTTCCGAGCACATTGTAGACCTTGGCGATCTTGGTAGTGACCATGAGCTTCATTGCGACGATCACCCATTCACGGATGTGGTCCAGGACTTCTCCGGGAGCGGACTGTCTGAGAGCATCTTCCAGGTGCTCGAATTGATGTCCATCAAACTCCCAGATAGGTGGAACATAGGCTGATACAAGTGATGGTGTTGGGGATGCTGGTCCTCCGACTTGTGATGCAGAATCCTGCGGTCCTAGTGCAGGTTCAGGTGAATTGCGCTGCGAGGCACATGAAGTACTGCCGTTGTGTGCCGATTCGACGTTTGTGTGAAGAATGTCATCCATTCGTTGCCTGAACGTAGATGCGTGCACACGATCGGCTCCTTCCATTGTGATATAGATGTATGTAAGCTAGTACAAAAAGTTCAAGTATCGCTTTTCGGCGATAAAGACCAGGGCTTTGGCAATTTCCTGCAGCCTTTCCTCTTTCCCTATCTGCTTGAAACTAATGCCTCCTATCTCCAAACAGACCATGTTGATTACCTGCTTCTCGATGAATGTGTATGTGCACGTCCAGTGTGTAGGTCAGCGCAGACTTTGTCGAGTTCTGTGGTGAGGCTAAAGATGGGTCCTTGGTGCTTGTCCTTTAGACGATATGAGAACACTCCTAGTATAGGTTGGAGCCTGAAGCGGGTAGTATCTACTTGCTTCATAAGGGTCTCGATGTGGATAGTCGGCCTGACTCTGGAAGGGAGTGGGCGAATGGGACGTGCAAGGGTGTTTGTCTTTATAAAGTTAGGTAGGGGACGAGTTGGAATAGGAGCGATGATGGGGGGAGGTACTGCGTTAGAAGTGATGAGCTCTGGTGGTGGTGCTGGCTTATGACTGCCTGTGGTAAGACGTCCACGTCTGGGCTTGTAGTGTTCGAGCGGTGGGGTGCGATCGTGAGGTTTGCAGATGATTCCACACTTTATAATGTGCATAGTATCGACGACCCTAGCTGCTGCACGCTGCCTGTCTGTGGATGATGCGCCAAGCGATGCGAGTGTGAGGAGTCTTCCACGCTCCTTGTTAGTTTCCTGATGCTTGTAGTGGGCGTCGAGGTCGATCCTGGGGGTGGCCTTGCACTTTGAGGCATTGGGCAGCTCAGAGTCTTGCTGAGGCTCACGCCGGGTAGAGATCGGATTGGAATGTGTGTCAAAAAAGCCGCGTGCTACGGCTGAAACTGCTTGCGCTGAAAATATGCGGCCGCTTGTGTTAGACACTAAGCAGGGGCGCAGAAAATGTCAGATTGTTTCTAATGTCACGATAACACCGGACAAGAGATCAAAAAGACTAAAAAGGGACAGTCACGTGGAACGTGCCGCCCTGATCCCCCTGATCCCAAAAGTATCCCCCTGAACCCTATGTGGCACAAGAGCCTGTTGACTTACTGGTCGATGTGGCAGATGCAGGAAAGGGTGAGAGATATATGAAGGAGCTGGTGGGCTCAGTAAGTGCTACAGGTAGTAGACGAGGAGAAACAATCTGAAGTTTCGTCCTCTA